CGGCGTGGCTTCGGAAAGCGAACACCTTTCCTCCTGTCTTCCTTCGCCGGTGCTCCTGGGTGCAATTTGCAGCGCGTGCGACCAGGACCCGGGACCGAAGGAGCACAGTATTCCAGGCGCCGCGCCAGCCAGGGCGTGCCCTGCGCAGAGGGTGGACTCAGCGCCGGCATCCGCGGAATTCCCCGAGGGCTGCAGCGTTCCAGAGATGGGGCAGGGGAATGTGGCTCTGAAAAACGGAAGTCCACTTCGGGATCTCTCGTCCCAGGCCCTGCTTATTCTGCCAGGAATTCAGCTGTTCACAAGCTTCTCAAACAAGCTCAGACCCACTGCACCCCCCCACTTCCGAGACATTACAGTTATATTTTCCAGTCTAATTAGTATTCTCTAAAGCTCAGCTTTCTAGGATGGAAAAGGACGATGAAGTGCAGCCTCGGAGGACTTCACAAAAGGCAGCCTAAGCTGCCTTTCAGCCTTCACACCGCCTGAGCTTTCCTTGTCTTTTTATTCCTGGAATTGGCCAATGAAACTTCCCGCCAGTGCCTTTAAGGAGCTTTGGTGGTGCAGTGGTTAAACTACTCAACTGCTAACCAAGAGGTTGAACCCACCAACCACAATGTGAGAGGATGACGTGGCAATATGTTTCTGTAACCATTATAGCCTAGGAAACCCTACCGTTTTTAAAAGTACTACCAGGAGAAAGACGTGGCTTCCTATCCCCGCAAAGAATTACAGTTTTGAGACTCAGGGAAGTGCTACCCTGCCCTATAAGGGTCACTAGAGTCAACCCCCCCATAATGGCAGTGATTTTGATTTGATTTTGGCTGGGGTTGTTATGGGATAGGATTGACTTCTAGGCAGTGGCCTAGCTTTGGGTTTGGCTGGGGCTTTTGGGAGTCCTAGGTGGTGTAAGTGGTTACCTGGGGGATGCTAACTCCAGGATTGGTGGTTGGAATCCACACAGAGATCCCGCGGAAGAAAGACGTAGCAGTTTACTTGTAAAGAAACAATCTCTGAAAACCCCATGGAGCACTATTCTATTCTGGCAGATAGTTGATGGACTGACAGCAACGGATTTGGTTTGGCCCAGGGCCTTTATAGTTACTATTCTTTCTGAAACGTGCCCCTTCCCACCCCACCCCCTTATTTCCACAGTTGGCTTCCTCACTTCACTGATTCCTCTTAAATGTTCTTTCACTTTGGTAGACCTGGCTTTTTCCTTTGACCCTTTCCTAAATGCAGCATCCATATTACTCTTTCTGCACATGCCCTGCTTTCTTTGCCACCTAGTACTCATGGATCTGACACTACGGCTAATTTGTTTATTAATTGGTCTCCATTAGCAGTCTGTTTTACTCGGAAGGGCAAATTGGAGACCAATGATCTTCTGTCTACTTTAAGAACTTATGAGATCGCACCTAATGTGGTTAGGAGGCTGTTGGTTTCCCATGGAGATTTACAGTCGGAGAAATCCTAAGTGGTTCTACTCTGTCCTATAGCGTCGTTTATGCATCAGAAATGATTGGATGGCAGTGATTTTTCTCATCTGTTTATTTTTTTTTAATGTACTCCTCTTTTTGGGTACTGCTGGAAGACCCCCTGGTTTGGAGGCCCTACCGCTGTATGCAGCTGTTAATGCACTGGCCCCAATAAGTGTCACTTATTGTGTGACACTACTACTTGGTGATTGTATCTTTTTCCTTGATCGGTCCAAGGGCTATTTCCAGTTTTAGGAACAAGGGGCTATTTGTTTTTTCTGAGAATGTTATAATCACTGATTTGATCACTTTCAACTCACTGCAATTTCCTATGTGTAAAAGAAAGCCATTGCCTCAAGTTGATTCTGACACATATGCACCCTATAGAACAGAGTGGAAATGCTCCACTGGGTTTCTATTGCTATGATTTTTGTGGGAAGAGTTGGTAGCCCTGTTGGTAGGGTTGGGCTGTTTACCGCAAGGTCAGTGCTTCAAACCGAGGAGAGGAAGGTGGGAATTCCAGCTTAGGAATCCTGAATCGACTCAGTGGCAGAGGATCTGTGTGTTTGTTTGTTTGTTTGTTTGTTTGAAATCTTTACTGTAACAGGCAGACTGCCATAATCCTGTCATCCTCCCCCTAGTTCCAGTGGGCTGGTTGGTTCTAACCATAGTTAGCAAATTAAAAAGAGGACAAAATACAGGCCCCATCCCCCCTTGCGTTTTGAGACAGTAAACTATCACTTTACCTTGTTAAAAAAAAAGTATACCTTGGCCATGAGGACACAGGTACTGGGGTCAGTGGAACAGATGTTTGGATGTGAGTCTGACTGGTGGCAAATGGCATTGCAGAAGATAAAACAAAGACCATTTGAGGTGGATAAATTGCAGGATGTTCAAAGGGAGCCCTGCAATGGGTGAGTCAGCAGGTTTTTGGTAAGCATAGTTACGATAAAGTAGCCCTAGTGATATAGTGGGTTACGAGTTGGACTGCTAACTGCTGTGGGGTTAAGGGGAGAGGGGTTCCCCACAAAACATCACAAGTCTGGTAGGCGCAATTGTACAGCGATAATAAGTAAAGATTATAATAAAGTTATAGAGAGCATGAGAGATAAAAGAGATATATAGAAATAAATGGAGTCAGACACACTTCATGGTAGCATTGCTCAGCCCAGTTTGGTGGTCCACGTGGAGGGAGAGAGGGGAAGGAGGACGGGAAAGGGAACAAGGGAGAGAGGACGGGAGAGGAGAGGGGGAAGAGAGGGGAGCAACCAAGGAGAGAGAGACTTTAAGGCTTCCCAAGCTTTTATCCTCCCTGGGGACGTGCAAGCCCCCTAATTACAGGTGAAGACATACGTCACAGGAAGGGGTTACACTATAGGTTATACAGTAACGAGAGGGGCTGGTCTAGGGACATACACACAATAGGAAGAGGAGAGGGATTGGGGGTATACATGTGACAAGATGGGCGGATCCTAGATTTAGGATGGCAAATTGACTTTGACCTGTTCCTGGGTCTCCATAGGAACCATTATCAGTAGGATGTGAACTCCACCTACAGGAACCAAGCTAATGGTCACAAGCTTCAGAGAGAAGTAATCCGGTGTCTCCAGCAGCAGAGAGCAGGCCCAGTGCAGTCTGGCAACTGATCCCCCTAGGGGGGAGAGAATGCCTGCACATCTGACCTCCCCCCACAACTGCAAAGTTGGCAGTTTAAACCCACTAGCTTCTCCCTGGGAGAAAGATGAGGCTTTCCACTCTTGTAAAGATTTATGGTCTCAGAAATTCAAAGGGCCAACTCTATTCTGTCCTACAGGGTCACTGTGAGTTGAATTGACAGCAATGGGTTTAGTTTGTTTGTTTGGGGGTTGGTACCATGGTAGGTATCATGCTAAAAGTATGGGGATGATTAGATTATCCAGAAGGTGACAGATCCTAACTATAGGTGTTAAAAATAGTTTTGAAGACAAAATATGAACTTCATACAGATATAAAAATGATCGTGTGTTAAAGTTCTTATTCAGGGTTGTCATATTATGGTTTGGGGGTCAAATTCAACCAGTTGTTTCTGGATATCTCTAGAGTCAAGACTGCCTTTAACGAAAATGGTAAAGTATAATAAATTAAACAGACATAAATAACAAGGGGGAATATGCTACAGGTATTGTGTGTGGTCCACAAAGCCTCAAATGTTTACTAACTGACCTACATAACTGGCCTAATCCTTCCTTGATTTTGAGAGACTTCTAAGGAAGTATAATCATTACGAAGGAGAACTCAAAGAAAAGACAACCAAACAACCGAAAAAGACAATAAAAACCAAACATTGCCATTAAGTTGATTCCAACTCATGAAGCAAGAAGACAGAGAAGAGTTTCTGAGCCTGTAAACCTTCAAGGGGGTCAACTGCAGTGAGAGATGCTAGACTATGATAATACTGTTGGTAATAAGAATATTAGTTTATTGTGAATAAAATCCATTCGTTATAATTTCTTAAAAATCTACAAGGGAGCAGACAGTCTCTCTTCTTTTTCACATAGAGCAGCTGGTTGGTTCAAACCACCAATCTTTCAGTTTGCAGTCCATCGCTTAACACACTGTATATCAGTGCTCCTTACAGACAGATTTGCTCTGACAAACTGAGCTGTAAGAGATGTACAGATGTGTTGCTGAGGAGAGTGTGCTTAAGAACAAGCCAGAGGTTAAAATTTAACACCTATCACTTGAGCTCCCTTTTGACTCATTGCAAATTCGTTCTATTCTTAATATTTTCTGCTCTTTTTGATTGAGGCCTTTCTCTGTTTTACTATGTTACTGGTTTTAGTTTTTTAAAAAAATGTTTTTCTGTATATGAAATCCAGGAGGGGTAATTTATAGAGAAAGTAACTGGACTAATGGTTTCTTGGGGAGAAATGGGGAGCTAATAAAGATGAGTATAAGAATGAAGAAAACATACTAAAATTGATTGTGATGATGATTGTACAACCCTTTTTTAATATGATTAAGCTATTGAATTGTATGATTTGTGAATTGTAAGACAATAAAACTTTAAAAAAATACATAATAGATCATTTAAAAAGAAAGAGTTGTGAAAATCCACCGCCATTGTTATCGTCTCTAAGGTGTTTGAAAGA